AGTTCGCTTGCGGGGTTAGAAAAGTGAACCACAACACAAAATGCAGAGCGTCCTAGTTTTGGCGCGGATTGCAGGAAATAATAATAAAAAAAAAAGAGTATATAATATAATGATACAAACCGAGCGAAAGGGAGAATGAATCGAAATTCAGAATAGGAAACGAATGTTGTTTAATTGCTTCAATATATATATATGTATACGAATCGAAAGTTGGCAATTGTTGAACATTGTTGTAAATGGACGATAAATCAGTCACCGAAAAGGGTATAATTTGGGTGAGTAATGTAATGTAATATAATGAAGGTCCACACCGGAATGAGATCGAAATAAAACGCCGTTTATGGTGAGTGAGGCGAGTCCTTTTCGGAAAAAAAGTCTTCAGATAAGCATCGGCGCTGAAGGAGAAAGAACGAAGGAGAGAGAGAGAAACGAGACAAGACAAAAAAAAAGAAACAAGAAGTACACATAATAACACAAGGAGTCGACGAAGAAATTAAAGAGACCGCGTATATGCAAAGTAACGACCCCATTTAGTACCATATGGTCCTGGCAAACCACAATTAAGGAACGGCATTAAAATTAAAATAAACGCGCACAGGAATACATACATAATAATAATAATATAGACGTAACGGACACACGCACTTACGCAAAACTTAATTAGTTTCGCACAATGCTATTAATAAAGTCGTGTGCGTTTTTCTTCGTGTCGCCGTTCTGTCGGAGGTGCGACCTCTTGTTTACCACAAAACAGCACCATTTTTGTACTTAACAGTGCGTAATGTCATCTCTCCGCTGCGATCGTAAAAACGTTATGTATGGATGTTTGTAAAAGTGAGCGAATTATTTTTTTTTGTTAATGCACACAAATATTTCATCCAATTTGGATGCTTGACCTTAACCAATAAGGAGATTTCTTTCACGTCCCAAAAAAAATTATATATTATTTATATTAAATTTGAAAACGTTTGGCCTAGAAACATATTTTCATAGCAAATCGTCCAATTAACAGTAATTTAGCTCAAAAATTTGTCTGTAATTATTGAAAATCGAAATTTGGGCATAGCCATTATATATTAGAGAGTTATTGCTTTAAGACAAGACAACTTTGTTTTAGGTTAATCTTACTTATTGATGAAATTTAGGTCAATACAATATTCAAAATTATGTTTAAATTCAATTTGATGATTTCCACGAGCAATCTGCAATTATCAAAGAATTCAAGCTAAATTTCATGATTTGAACATATACCAAATACTTGCTTTAACTCTTTGAGGGCCCGTGGTACACGCATTGTCTCACCTTTTAAACATGCATAGTAAGGTATTATTCTAATTTACTAGAAAATTTATAGGAAAGAGGAATTACCATATAATTTGGTTGGTGATGAATCTTGATAGTCGAAGTTGTCTGATTCAATTCTCTAAAAAAATTGTCGGGTCCAGAAATTTAGGAATTTCTGACAATTAATATGTAGATGAAAATGCCAATAGTATAGATTTGTATTATCAATTAATCTAAAATTAGTTTCAAACTAAATTTGATCGTTTATCTATTAATTTGAGAAACTAATTGAATATCTAGAATAGATATAGAATAGATAAATAATGTCAATTAAAAATTGAGTTCACCAATCAATTGATAATCAATGTACATAATTTAAAGTATAGTAAGGTACTACATAGATTACCATTATTTAATTATTTTAAAACTTAATTCAAACCAAATTGATGATAGATTGCCACAAGTCTAATATTTCCAATGGAAAATCCCATCAGAAGATCAAAATTACCAATTAATTTAAATTCAAATTCAAATTTTATAATAAGATTAACTTAAAAGAAGATAGAATTTAATGTGAGATATGAACTGTCTATATTCAAAAAAAAAAAATTGCGACCCCCTAAAGAATGTGTATGCGTAGATAAACTTCACGGATTGATCTGTCATCAATTTTTCTGAGACCCCTCAAATATTTATCGCGACCCCCAGGGGGACCCACACTTTGAGAATCACTGAATTAGAAGAAGAAATTAATTTAATAATAGATTTCCAGAAATGTGTAGTCTGCAAAGATATGTTTAGCATTATTTTAATAAATTTAATAAATGTAAGTTGAAAAATAAATTATATTGAGACAAGACAATTTTATAAATTAGAACAGCGTTTCTCAAACTTTAAGGTTCACGACCCCCTTTTGCAGATAAATTTTTTTCCCCAAAGAATGGGTATGTGTAGAAAGACATCACGGATTGAGCTGTCATTAATTTTTCTGAGACCCCCAAATATATTTCGCGACCCCCAGAGGGACCCACACTTTGAGAATCACCGAATTAGAAGAAGAAATTAATTAGTTGTTTCGAAAGAAAACCTATACAAGATTCGATTCTTAAAAAAAAAAGAATACGAGAACTGGTGCAACTGAGACTGAAATAATTAAAAGGAAACCGTCTGCAGACAATAAACATAAAAAAAAATAATGACGAGTGAAGATTTCTACAACATAGTATATTATAAAGCGCAACTTTCCATCGTTTCGCAATGCAATAATGAAGCAGCATCGTATCCTCCAAGAAGAAGAAAAAAACACAAAACGGAAATAATCCTGCGATTTCCTGCGAGATCATCGCTCACCACCGAACGTATTAATCCCGACGCACCGCAGATTAACACCGGAAATGGTGGCGCAACGAATTATCAGATTTTCCTTGCGCGCAATTTCATAACGGAACAACAATTCACACACACATACTTGAAGTTACGCAACGCCTTACCGATAAGACGTCGTCGCGCAATCAGAATTTGAAAAGCACCATTCCATAACGTAATTCAAATTATCGCTGAAAAGGGGAAATGCAAATAACGGAATGAAGAACCTTACATAAACACGATACGTTTAATTATCTTCATTTGCATTAGGTAATTCAAGTTAATTATTTTTTGTTGTATATATTTTGTAGAAACCTTGTGTTTGTTTTGAATGTATTTGCTTTTTGTTCAGTTTCGAAAGTGAATTGCTTTTTGGCGCAGAAAATTTATTAATTTATTGTTTCACTTCGCAAGTATAGAAAGAAACTTGGAACAAAGTTATCATTTGTTTTCACCTCAAACCGGTGAACGGATATATTTAAATGCACGATTTAGAGAAACCATGCTTCATTATTTTTTTTTGGCATTCGCACAACAAAAACAAAGCAAAATCACGAGTTTTGTACGTAAATACGCCGATGATAATAGAGTTACCGAAAACAAGTAGTGAATGATAAAATGCGATGGTCGCAGGTCCTTGATTAAATAATTATGTTATTGTTATCGACAGTTTATCAAGATTCAAATTGTTGCAAACAAAAATAGCGATAATTCCGATTAAATCATGATTTAAAGTCGCGTCTGCTTCAATTAATACACACTAATATCACCTGATAATGTTTACGATTAATCCTTGGAATTTCAGAAATTACATAAATTCGTGTGTAAAACTTATTTTTTTTTGTATTGTTAATCAATTAATAATGGTAAAAAACAGCAGTTTTTCGGTTACACATAATTGCAAAGTCGTGATATGTCAAAAATATTAAGTAGTTTGCATAATTATATTTACTATGCAAAAAAAAGTTTTCAATAAAATCGATTAAAAAAAAATAATAACTTACCAGGTGATGTCTGTCTTTGTAGAGGAACAACTTGGGACCTTTAAGAACAGCCCAAACTTGCTTCCAAGAACGATCTCCGAATCTCTGGTAATTAAAAAATAATAAAATTAAATAAAAATTAAATAAAGTGTAACGAGGCGATTTAAAATGAGAGTAGAAATAAGAAAGTGGAAGAATCGATTTCCTCGGCAAAGCCGATACTTCTAAATTTATTTAGAATAATTATGGAAGTGAAAGAGAGCAGCAAGCAGCACTCTTTTGTTTTCTTCCTTTCGATTCTTTATTTCTTTATTTCCTCCGTCAATTACCTTTCCATCGATTTCGGTGATTTTGCAGTGCAGCAATCCCTCTTTCACGAAATAGGCCTTCTCTTTTTCGACCGGAAGGACGCAGGAGGTGATTTTCTCCCGTTCCAGCGAGACGCTGCTGCTGCTTCCGCCGCTCAAGCTACCGCTGTAACAAAGATCGAATAATCAGCATCGTAACAATGGATGAGACGTCATTCGGATTAGAAGCAAACCAGAACGAACGTTAAAATTGCAAGAAACAAACAAACAATCAACAAACAAACAAATAGTAAAAAAAATAATAAAGAAAACAAGACACTCAGAGAACACAATGCAAAAACACATCAAAACTAGTAGTGTATAAAGCGCGAGTATGATTGATGAAGCACCAACGATTCTTGTGTGGGTTATAAATTATTTTCGTTTACAAAATTCGCAACAAAAAAAAATCGCTTTTTACATTCCTCTATTAAAGAAGCGAAGGTAAAAGAAATCGGACAAAAGAATTATTTCGCGTAATTAAATCATCATCATCGTCGTAATTAAAGTCCGGTGAACGTGATTAATACGACATTCGCAGCATGCGCAGACATTTTCACAACACTCAATAAATAATTTAAAAAAATCCAAAACGAGAAGAAAAAAAAACGCCGGTTGCAATCCATTAATTATCATTCGCGAAACGTTCTCGTTATCCAACATATAATTATTTATATATAAATTGTGCGCCCTAATTTCGAACTCTTAAGGGATTCCTTACGCAATCCAATTCAAGCGGAGCGCGATTTTGAAGTACGTGAACTGCATTGTTACATTGTTCGCGTTTCTCATCGAGACTGGCGCTTCTTTTTTTTAGCGATTTTTGTTTTCTTATTTTCTCGAATCTTATCTGCATCCTCCTTTATCGATGATTACGCGACTGTACGAGTGCAAATCGCTTATCGTTTCAGAAAAAAAATTGGGGATTTAAGCAGTTCTACGAAAGGTGTTTTTTGAGGATTATCTTCAATGGCGCTGGAAAAGCGCGACTGCCTTTGGATAAAGTGATGATAAACATGAGAAGAAGGCATTGCCTCGGAAGTGCACATTGCCCAACTTGTTTTGATCGTTCGAAGGAGGACCAATGAACCTTCGAGAATGGCTTTACGCAAATTGAACAAAAAAAAAGCATACACACCTCGCGCGTATTTCCTGCGCCTAGACCGTAACTTCGGATTTAGGAAATCCAATTGCGACAACGTTAGTGTTTTTTTTTCCTTTCTGTAGATTCATTTGTTTTTTCCGCAATCAACAGCATTTTTTACCCGACACGCGTAATTATTATTATGTTTGTTTTGTATAATGCTGCTCGACTTCGAGCAAAACAATCGTCATCGCGTTCTCACTTTCACCCTGGCATTTCACTTGACGCACGCACCAAATCTTGTATATATATACAAATACACCGGGATATTTACGCAACGTCGATTTTTCATCTTCGCGCTTTTGTTTTTTTTCTTGCGTTGCGGCAAAACGCGGAAAAGCTTAATCGATTATTACTATTGGAGAACACCGGGTTCGGAAATTATTGGAAAACACCCACGGGGCTCCGACGCCCACGACACCTTTCCATGCCCATTACACATTATTTAACACTTCAATTACATTTCCATACAATCAGCGGGACGAAGGAATCGATTCCACATCGTTTCGAGCGCTCCAAGAAAAATCTGTAATTGCAGGCTATATACCTTCCCTCGAATTGCATTCCTTAATACTTATGAATCCACGCGATTGCTGCTTTCAAATGATTAAAGCCCATCCATTCAACATTCAAAGATAATATTAACTGTATCCATAATTCAAATTACAATTCAATCGATTGGAATCACCAACTGTTAAAAAGTAAAAATATATCAAATTCATAAAACCTTCTGTAAAATTGCATTTTTTAATACTTTTGAATCGATAAATGTTGTTTTCCATTAAAAAACATTAATTATTACTATAAATCAAACAATAATTGAATTTATATTCATTATCTATTAAAATCATCAACTTTTAAAAAGTAAAAATAAATTAAATTCCTAAAAACTTCTGTAAAATTGCATTCTTTAATACTTTTGTATCAATAAATATTATTTTAATTATTACTATAAATCAAACAATAATTGAATTTATATTCATTATTTTTTAAAATCATCAACTTTTAAAAAGTAAAAATAAATCAAATTCATTAAAACTTCTTTAATACTTTTGAATCGATAAATGTTGTATTCCATAAAAAAAATAATTATAAAATCATCAACATTTTTTTAAAGTAAAAATTACATTAAAAATTGCATTATACAATACGATAATTGCTGATTTACATAAAATACTACTATCAACCAAATCTATGATGATCTGTTTAAAATCACCAACTTTTTCGAAGTAAAAAATAAGTAATAATAACAAATACTTCTTCAAAAATTACATTAATACTTATGAATCTATGAATTTTTTTAAATAATTTAAATCTCACGAATACAAAGATATCATTAATTTCATAATCCATACAATTAACAAACGTCTCAAACTTAAATGCATTCTCTTTTGTAATACAACTTTTTTTTTAAATGATGAATGAAATATAAATGTTCGTTTTTATTGTAAATATTTAAGAAAAAATATAAATTTTAATGAACTCTAAAGTCGTGTTAAGTAGACTTCATCTTTCACTACTGTTTATTTTCTTTTCTGTAAAGCTTTCAAATTTATGAATAAAAAATGAATGAATTTTTCTTTATTAACGTTATTGTTCTTTGCGTACGAGGAGTTTCAGTGAACAACAAACCTAATGGTACGTATCCAATTTCATTGGACACATATATGCAACGGTATATCGGACAACAGTTACTTAACAGAGAGACGAAATATATATATATAAGAAAAAACAATAGTTAACGCTCGTTTTGATTGTTTTTGGAGCGCATGGAATGTCCGTAATAATATCATATAACAATATGGGTACGGCTAAACGCTGCACAGAAACCCACGTCTAATTTATGGAAACAACAAATATAAATTTCACGTGAAAGCAGAAATTTGAAACAAAACAAAAAACCCGATACATTCGTTTATTGTTACCATTACATATATATGCCCGTTCCACGTAATTCGAGTAGGACAATCGGAAATTACTTAAAAAATCATATCATTTTTCATTAAAATCAATTACAGCATATATTTTTTTATATTTTTGAATAAATTGATGAAGAATTGAAAACACAAAGACTCTGGATAAAATAACATTCAGATCACTTTTCAAATCCATCATTTCTAATTCTAATAAAAAAATCTAAATAATAATGAAGTTTATAAGAACTTAAAATTACATCCACTTTTCAAATTCACGAACGTATTCAAACTTTTCCTTTTAATTTTAGAAGAATATTTAAATCTATAAAATAATTTCATTTGGTATAAGACATTCAAGACGAATCAAATGTGAATAATAATTAGGTGTCAAATTGTCATCACTTTTAAAATTGTCGATTTCTTTTGGACTTTATTATTATTATTATTTTTAATTTTGGAGAATAGATAAACAAATACATTGAAAGAATTTGATTCGGTGTAAGGTAGAAATGGAATGCTGACCACGACAAATCAAGTCCA